TATTTCATCGTTGTTTGCCATGGAAGACAATCAGATGAGCTTGGAAGACAAGGTTTTGTCTCTTAAACTCTTCCCACAGACAGTGCCAATTGTACGGGGGGCCAATATTCCACAGAGCCCGTACTCCTTTCTATCAAGCTTCTTGTCTGTCCAATCGACCTGCGAACACACAACGGCGGTGAGCTACCGGCGGTGTGTGGCCGGAAAACCTCTCCGACGATCAAGTTAGCACACACTCCGGGGATATAGAGAGAGTTGAGTGTTTAGGTTGTTCTCACCAAATGATGTTCCATCCTCCGCATGGGGGGCGCAGTCAAGCTTATATACATTCTGCGCTTATATCTGCTCCCATTAGTCTCTTGACACGTGGAGCTGCTCTCCCATCTGTCAGCATAAATCCTGCAATCACCACCTAACCAAACCGCCAGACAACATTAACGGGATCATGGCAGATCAGCGGAATCACCTCGGCCTTCCACGTCCGTGCTGCGTAACGTGCCTGAGTGCTCCACTCGCCGAGCTCCATAACAGCCGAGCTCGGTAGCATTCGGGCATAACCGAGTTTAAGATAAGCCGAGCCAGTGAACAAAAGACTTTACCACCGAGCTAACCATGCTCCCCCAAAACCTGTGTAGCAGATGATCATCTCGGCCCAGCAAGTCCAAATCCGGGGAGCTCGATCAATCACATGGCCGTGGACCTCAGGCCTGGGCCTCGACCGAGCAAGATCACCTCCAGAGAAACCCCAGTTAGCTCAGCCTAGACAGGGGCTGGGCCTCGACCGAGAAAATCCCACTCCAAATCAAGCCCAAGTGATCTCGACCCAAACATTCTCGGCCCTAACCTGTTCGACCTCTTCCACGATCCAAAGCTAGATTATAAATCTCCCTCTCAGTTAGAGATTAATCAGAACGAAATCACACTTTCATGAAAAAATAAATAAATAAATTTACAGACACATGAGAAAGGAAAAGTTTTGTAATTTTTTTTTTATTTGTACAATATTATTCAATTTTATAGAATATTTTGGAAAGTAAGTTAAAAATTAATTTTGTCTTTTTTTTTAAAAAAAAACGTATAAAAAAATAGAGAAGTGATTTGATTTAAAAAAGCTAAAAAACTGACTTTTAACTAGTTACTAAAATGTGATATGTCTTCAGGATATTGGTTTAGTAAATCCTACATTTCAATTATTATTATTATTTAAAACATTGCTGGGAGAGAATTAAAATTGTGACCATCGGAGGAGGAACACACATTTTGGCAACTGTATAAGCCATTTAGCTTTCATGTTTTTATACATCAATAATAACAAATCAAACAATATTTAGTACTCATACTTAATGATTAAAGTATTACTATCACCAAATATACAAAATGTGTCACTCAAATTTGTAGCAATAATAATTTATATAATTTTTAGCTAAATCAATTTTAGAGTACGGGTCAAGTTTGAAGTGAATTACAAGCACAAATTATGAAATAAGAGAGGTTCCAAAGAGGATAGCCATATGGTCCTTAAAATATAAAGTTTGGTCTATTCTCTATTCTCTCTCTCTTTTCTTTTTCTTTTTTTTGTTTTTTGCCCTTTGAAAATTCAAGGTTTGCATGGAAAACATGCATGCATAGAGCTCAGTTAGAAAGTTGGCTATTTTAGTTGTCTTTTACACTTTTTAATTATTTTAACCTTACTAAAAAAATTGTATTTGGTATGAATTGAATGTCACAAATAATAGTTTGGCATGAATTGGCAGCTTCCAAAGAGAATGGTTCTATGGTTGGTAAGTGTGTGAGTGAATTTCTGACCACACTGCCAACTAAATATTCAACTGGAAAGCACTGGCAGAATAGATGGCACCTATCTGACCTGCAACAGAAAAAGAAGATTCCAGCGGTGGTTCGTCCACCCGGGGCCACTCCGACGATCAAGTCAGTATCTCTCTCAAAGATAATCAATAGTGATAAACTCACTGTTTAGAATATAAATTGTGTACCTTAGACCCATCGGGGGTGCCTCTCTTTTGTAGCTAATTCAGTCCTAGTCCCCATAGAAGCCTAGCTTCAATGGACTTCTGCTCAGCGCTTATCCTGAACTCTCCAAGAGATAAAGATAAACTCCCTAAGAGTATTATCCTTATCCATGTTGAAGTCCTTCCTCATTTTAGGACTCTTGTGCCTTATCCGCTTATCCCAGATTCTGATATCTTCGGAGGTAACCTCGGCCTAGCCGAGATAACCTCAGCGTCACAGACAGGACTCGTGGCACCTCGGTTGACACATCGGCGTCATCTTGGCCACGTGTTGGTACTCAGAAAATATATCCCCACAACTGCCCCCTAGGTTCTATTACCTCGGTATTCTGAGGTGATGGAACCTATATTAGTACTTGATTCCAGTACGTCGGCTTAAAATTTCCCAACTGAGATCATTATACAGGCCGACATCTCTTTTTTAAAGAACAAGAATTCCAAGAGCTCCCTCACGTGTATGAGTTGTCAAGCATAATAACTCAACCGTTTTAGCCACGGGTTTTTCCCTTACTAGATCGTACTCCGTACGTGCTTGTAAGTCGTCTCGCACCTGCGTGCGCCGTCTGACGCATACATCGTTTCAGGCGCATTAATTGCCTTTTTGCTGCCGTTTCAAGTTTTGACAAAACTTCTTTCTCCTTTCGTCTTTTCACTTTACATCGTCTTTGTTCAAACTCCCTCTCTCTCTTACTTTCTCTAATCCTCCATTGTTTCAAGCTCTCAAGTTCTGCTACCAACGCTGTTTCACCTCCTCCGGCGAGGCTCTTGCTAATCTTTTCCGCTGCTGCCGTTCGTCTGACTTCGGCGAACTCAACACCAGCTTCCTTTCTTCGGTGAGTTACTGTTTCTTCCTGATTTAACTTCTTGTTTCAGTTTTTTGTTTTGCTTTACTGAACTCTACTGCTCTGCTTCTGCAATCTTGTTCATATCTTTAATATTTCAATTTGTATCTTGTTCACCACATGTTTGTTTCACGATTCTGTTTTTGCCCCATTCGTTTCTTGAATACACACTGTTCACACACTTGTTGATTATTGCCACTGTTCTTGGCCTGACACACCTGTGAAAAACTTTTATCTTGTGTTTCTTGATGACTCATCACTGTTCTTAACTCTGAATCACATTCCTGTTTCTGTTTGCCATGTTTTTTCCAGATTTGTGCCTTCAATCTTCATCTCTATAGATATAGGTTTGGGATTTGTTTGTAAAACCCACGAATTTTAGGAAAAACTGAAACGATTTCCCACTGATTTTGTATATTTTTAGGTTTTAGCCGAGGTCCCTAAAACCCTAAAAAATACTCCTATCTGAAATCCAACTCCTCCAGTTAAGCCGATATCATGGGTATGTGGAAGCATAGGGTAGACACCCCGACCAAGTTAGAGCACTTTAGGAGAAAGTTTGACATCCCGGCCGACGTTCATCTAAGGTTGGCTGGGAAGGATGACTCTATCGTGCCCACAACTGTTTCTATGCCCTTCCCTGTTATAGCTTTTATCGAGTGCGGACTTCGGCTCCCACTAAATATCCTTTTCCGTGAGATACTTCATTATTATAAGTTGAACCCGATGCAGCTTGCCATCAACTCCTACCGAGTCATCAATGGCATAATAGCCTTAGCCAAACAAGAAAGCGCTAGGGTTACCTTAGCCGATATTCAATACTGCTACACCATGTGTGGCCTCAAAAAAGATACGGGCTACGTTTACTACCTCAAGTCGAGGTCCACAGAGTACAAAATTGTTGCCGACCTCCCTGACTCCAACGAGGGAGCTGGGGATGATTATTTCATTACCTCAGGGAACTGGGAGTTCGCTCCAGACGAGGACCTCCACCTCTACCTCTTCCTCGAACTGTTTTTGTAGAGGGCAATGGTAAGAGCCTTGTGTTCATACTAACTTGTTTTCAAAGTCTTCAATACTGTATTTGTTCTAATGTCTGTTTTCTCTTGCAGTTCTTCCTCAGCCACCAAAGGGCTTCCGCCAGTCTTTCTTTCCCAGCAAAGGCTTGAGGAAACTATTAGATCTGCCAGTCCATAAGCAGAGAGCCCCTTTGGTGCTCAATTTCATCCCAATCTATAAATCGGTACTGCCCGACATCCCAAAGAAGAAGAAAAAAAGCCAGTCACCTCCTTGTGCCACAACTCCTCAAGCTGCCTCCATATCTCGGCCAGATCAAGGATCAACCTCTAATCCAACTGAGTAGCCGTCAACCTCGGCTCCATATCTAATCCCAATATCCGAACGCCAACGCCGGCGATGAACTATTTTTGCTGTCGAGATGGGTCGTTAGAAAGCAGTTGCTAAAGATCTTTTGGCCAACATTCCCTCTACTGTAGATGCCCAACCTGCGCCATCTCAGCCAAAGCCGAAGTAAAAAAGGATAAAGAAGGCTCAGCCAAAGGCAACGATAACTCAGATTGACACTGAGGATACCTTGCCAATTTCAAAATTGGCTTCGAGCGAGAAAACCACCTCCGTCCCCGAGAAGAGGTCTGCCGAGGCTGAACCATCTCAATCAACTTGGTCTAAAAGGCCGAGGTCAGAGTCTGCCACAGCGTCGGGCTCCCTGAAGGCTGGTGCCCCCTGGGCTCCACCCATTACTTTGGAAGACAGGCCAGTCTTTGTTGAGGATAGTGTCGACGACATTAATGTCGGCGTTGCCCTTACTACAACCTTGCTCCTCCCTAGGGATCTCAACCGCAACGCCGAGATGACTGAGCATAAGAACTTCACCTTGATGCTGCAGCACTCTGCTAAAGTAAGCCTTTTTACTTGATAATTTTTCTTTCTTTCTTTTTCCCACACTTAGAAAATTTTCTAATAACTTCTGCTCTGTTCATTTCTTCTTCAGGCAATCCAGCACGCCCATTCCTTCTCAATGTAATCTTTTGAGATAAGGAATGCGTTTACCGACAAGGCGAGGGAGGTCTCTGGTCTACAGAGGACCCTTAAAAAGACTGAAACCAAGATGAAAACCTTATCTGACCAGGCTGCATCGGCCGTTAAAGCCAAAGATGTGGCCGAGGAAAAAGCTGAGGCCGCTAAGGCCATCAAGAAGGTTCTTGAGGCCGAAAAGAAAGAGGCCAAAGAAAAGATGACCCAAGCCCAAAAAGAACTTCAAGATGCCTTGGCCACCAAAGCTGCCGAGGTCAAGGCTGCAGATGAAAAGCCATACGCTGAGGGGGTGGCTGATGTCACGACGGACTATGAAAAACAGGTGAAGCAAGCATGCAACAAGGGTTTCACCCTTGGTTGGATGTCTCTTCTAAAAAAGCTTGAAGTCCCTAAAGACTCCCCCCTCAGGAACGCCGACGTCCTTCCTCTTCCATTCCCCCCAACTCCAAGCCAATCTGACGATGATTCTGAGTCTGAGGAGGAGGCTTTGGTGAGGAAGTCCAAGGAAGCTGCTGGGGCCAAGTCCCCTACTCAAAATGAGCAAGTCCTGGACTTGACTCAAGATGAGGACAGTGAGGAGGTTCCCAATGATATTACTCCTAAGAAGGCATCATCGTACGTGCCTCTCGCCGACAAGAGCCTCGATCAAATCGTTCAAGAAATAGATGCTGAGCTTGCGACTGAGAAGCCTACCGAGATGTCCTCTCAGCAGTCTTCTGAACTTCAGACCCAATCAACTGGTGTTGCCGAAGAGTCTTAACTTTGATGTCCTTTTTCCTTTGTATTTTGTACTTTTATTTCTCTTCTTTTTGGAACAGTTGTAAGCTTTGGCCAACATGTCATCTTCTGAATGTTAATACAACTTCCTTTCTTGAATGCTTGTATGTTTGTCTTTCCTTTATTGTTCTTGTATGGCTCTCATACTTAGAATATTTCTGCATCTCTTCAATGTACACCTTAACTGTGTAATCTTCTCGGGGTGAAATACCTCCTTTATACTCACCAATGGTTTACGTCGGCAAGTACATAAGTACTCAGTTTAATACAACCTTGGCCTTAACTTGTAAACTTTTTCACAAATTTCAACAAGTGTTAGACATAACTTTGGTTTAACTTCAACTTGTAAATTTTTCACAAATTTCAACAAGTGTTAGACATAATCTCGGCTAACTTCAACTTGTAAATTTTTCACAAATTTCAACAAGTGTTAAAAACCAGTTTCCAACTCTCTACCCCCTAATGTGAACTTTAAGTTCCACTTGGGTTCTCATTATGCATGCATTCCAGAAACATCATCAATTATCCTATCAGTCACAAATGTGAAAAATCAAGCTTTATTTATTACTTCGGATAATAACAAAGAACAAGAAAATTTAATGATAAAAAAACTTAAGATTGCAAGTATTCCAAGGCCTTGGCAACTCTTTGCCCTCATTATCTTTAAGCCGATA